TATATATATATATACCTATAATATATTTGGAATCAAACACTCATGTACTATTAGTATAAGGTGCCAAATAAAATTGTATTGTACTGTATTGTATTGGGACCCAGCAGATCTCTCCTTGAACTTCTTCTCGCAGTAATCATAACTTGGACTGTTCAGCAAAGCAACATCAGATAGAGTATTGTAAGTCACCACAGAGAAGTCTTGCACGTTGGTGTTACGGTTTGATTGATGGTACGATCTTCGGGCAAAAAGGGGAGATTTCCTTTCCTTGATGTGGTCTGTAGGGCTGCATTGAGTCGTCATACTAGGTTGAGCTTTCCTTTGTCTTCTTTTATTCGTTTTCAGTGGCTTCGACCCTCAAATTCTACACTTACGAGACACAAAAGTATCATTTTGTACACATCATATCATTTAGCTATTCCTAATTTCATATTATAATATCGACTTTGAAGCCGGTTTTGCAAAACAATCCAGAGTGGTTGTAGAGTAAGTCGCATCCTGTCATGAGGCATTAACACAGAGGTCCACGTGTTAGGAAACTATAATGCACTTATCAATGGCTTCCACGAGGGGGGGGGACCCCGAACAAATGTGGGGACTTTGCTTTGAGCCTAGTGGAAAACTATCTGTGTATCCCCAGATATGTTAGAAAATGCCCCTATATTCCACCAGGCACTGGGGCAAAATTGTTATGGAGTTGAATAGACTTCCTCGGCTCTGACGTAATGTTTTCCCATTTCAGACCACATTTCATTCCCTAGAGTATCATTTCTTTGTTTATGGTTTGCGCTCGGTTGCACATGAGAAGACACATGAATATGGTTATAACTTAAACAAAGAATATCATCCTCAAGGGAATGACACGTGGTCTGAAATGGGACAACATTACGCTCGAGCGGTCCAGAACTGAGGAGGTCTATTGTTTTGTGCGTGATCACTCATTAATGCTCAATGAACATAAACAAAGGATTATCACCACAAATCGCTTTGTTTAACTTATCAATATCAAGAAATGTTAAGTTTTGTTCTTTCATGTTTTTTATTTATTTTGCAACAAAAATAGTGGATGATATGATTTGTTTATAGGTTCACTATTTTCCATACATCGGTTCACTGCTCAAACACAAAGCATTCAGTCGAGGTTACAAGGTTCAAATTTAAATAATCCTTGGAAAGTACCTTGGCGCCTTGCTTGAGCGCTTTGTGTTTGACCAGTGAACCGATGTATGGAAAATGGTGAATTAAAAGGATTAAATTCAAAATGCTCACCTTTCTGACTTGCAGTGTCCGCCATTTTGTGCATGACTAGTTCCCAGTTTACGAACGGCGTAGGTTAACACAGCAACCCCAATACCCGTAAATCAAAGTCAAAATAAACTCCAACAAAAAACGATGTTTCCCGGGAGGGAGGGGAGGGGGACTTCATTATGAAAGGGGGCGGGGGTACCGGGCGAAGTTTGTACCTCCGTTTGCTTTTTTAGACCTTTAGAGTCCAATACTTTATTGAAAACAGCTCTTTACAAAAGACTCTAATGCTTCCAGGGGGTTTCAGAAGATTTTATCTATCTACCACTATTCCTCCACTAGGGCAAGGATTTAAGGCTAAGTCCCCACTTTCCCCAACATTTCATCGAGTCTAGCCCGGGGTCTTCCTCCCCCCCCTTCGTGGAAGCCGATGACAGAATGCATAAAAGAAAGTATGTCATAAATATTTTTTTAGAATATATATTGTCTTATCGCATTAATTTGATTGAAGTATTTTATGTATGTACATGTGTACATTATGAGAGCTTTTGTAAAGGGAAAGCGTTATGCCTTCTCGTAAACTAGCGGGAGTCTGTAAAAAAATAATGTCCATATACTTTTCCCACATACAAATAAAAGCACTGGACAAGAAGGATGTCAAGAAACACAGTTTTTTGTTTTTCCTTTGTAGAGTCGCGAAAGTCTGAAGTGTGCAATGGTCGCATGCATGGGATTCCTGTGTTTAGTATCCCATAGGTCAGCGCGGTCTGGAATCCCCCCCAGCAGCGTCTTGTTCTTTCTCTATCCGCGTGTTATTCAAGATGAAGGTTCGAGGCCAGGTAATGAACAGAAAAATCCTATATTATCCTATCCCTAACCTTCAAAATCACTCCAAAATATAATAAATACGACAAATAAACACTATTCTTGTGATTTGAAGTATTAATACTTGCTGAAAACTATTTTTAGGGGTGTCAAAAGTCTTTCTAAAATTTCAACGTGGTTTGTCTGTCGGTGTCCTCCATTTTGAAATTTCACATTTTTCTTCCTCATGCTTCAGTATAGACTTCCAAAATAAACATAAATAAGAATAAAAGATGTTTTTTCCATTATTATCCATTGCTTTTCATTCTGAGAACTTCAAATTTTTATGACTGAAAAATTTTATTAATTTAAAGTAGTAATTTACGTGGGGTTTCAAACATTTTTATCAATATTGGATCTTTATAAGTCCATCTTTTTTGTTATATTAGTTTTATAAGCTACATGAGTCATTATATTTTAATTAGTTGGATGACAGTCATTATTTTGAAATTTAAGTTGAGATTTGATGAATAATATATTAATGTAATAATACCATACTATATTATTAGTTATCGTTAAAAGCTATTAATTTTATCACATTCATAAGCTAGCTTAGCAAATCCTTAGGCCCTGGCTAAATAAGAAAATGTGTTTCCTTAAATGTTTTCAAAGGTGGCAAAACTGTTAGGAAACATCAGGAAACATGTTTACTCAACATTGGTTAGTGTATGCACACTTGAAAAGATAGTGAGTGGTGCTAAAAGACAAACTTTAAGAATGCTGACTTTCATAGCTAAATAAGGAAACATTGTTTCCATGTGACTTGGAAGCATGAACCCTATATATTTTTACGACCACCATTCCCCGTTTGGGGCTCTTCCGTGAGGTTCCACATGTACTACCACTACATTCTATATTTACAACATACAACACTCAACTCACATGTTGGTTTTTACGGAGTAAGGAAATGTTTCTACTGAACAGCAGAAACTTTTTGCATCTTGGAAGCAAAATTTGTCATACGCAGCAATGTTTCACATGTGGCTAAACTTGGAAACATTGGGGAAACATGGGAACAGTAAACATGTTTCTGTAAATATGTTTCATCATTTATCTAGGGCTTTATAATCATGCTTGGGGATCTGAAAAAGGACTAAATATGCATGATTACAAAATACCAGAATTGCAGAAACATGAAGAACACTTAAATAATGAATTGGGTTTGACTTCTTTTAATTTTTGATTGCTTTAGCTGAGGGAATTCCAAGTCATAGGGCGTAAGATGCCCTCCAAAAAGGTCACAGTCCCACCTCTGTACAAGATGCGCATCTTTGCACCAGATGAAGTGGTTGCAAGATCAAAGTTTTGGTACTTCATTTCTCAGTTAAAGAGAATGAAGAAATCACAAGGTGAAATTGTTTCTTGTCAAGAGGTAAGTATATTAGAAGTTGAGTATACAAATGTGAAGGATAGACCTTTTGTGAATTCGTATGTTGTCCACAGACTCACTTACTCAGTGTTAGGCTTATTTCAGCATCAAAATATTGCTATAAAAACATTTAATTCCCATGGACTTTTATTGGAACAAATTAATGTTTCACACAATCAAGGCTAAGCGTGAGCAACAGAGAATCAAAACTTGATTATCACAGCTAGCAGGAGTTTTTAGTAGACCTCTTTACCTTGGGTGAAATGGTTTCTCATTCTCTTGAGAAGAAGATCCTTTGAGTTGTATCCATATTCATGTATATTCCTGAGCGACAGTTAAAGAAACCATTCCTCTTAAGAATGATCTGGTCTGAATTGTACAAAATATTACTTTCAAGGTAAAGAGGTATATATAAACTTAGCTACTTGCATTGAGTGGACAACCATTTTTTAGCTGGCCAAATACATTTGATTGGATCAGATCATTTTCATTGGGGGGGAGGGGTGCTGAATAGGGGTATGCAAATCCACGTCAATTCGTTAAAATTATTACTCAAATCTGTCGATAATTTTGAAAGTTGCCTTGTATGGGATTGCATTAAGACATAAAACATTTTTGAAGAGGGTTTAGATCCATGATCCGAACTGTATAACGAGCAAAAACCAAAATCCAGGCCAAAACAATGCATTATCAGGACTAAATGATTAGCAAAATCTGCTAATCCCTAGACCCATTCACCCCCTCTTTCATGGAATCATTTAGGAATTCCTTAACAGAACTCAAGTCTACCTTCTTGTGACACAAGATCATAGAGTGGTTACATGACAGTTATGTGGTGGGGCAGTGAAGTATACGACGTTTTTGCAGGATAAGAGATTTCATTTGCCAAAGGAGACAATTTCTGTTTGTTTTGCCCTAAAATATGACTTCCATGGAACTTCACTGTTGAAGCATTTTTAGGATTGCCCAGAAAGGGTTTTTATTAAGGGTCAGAGATCTGAAAATGCTTTGGTAACTGAGCAAAATTACCATGATCTTCTCATATTAATTCAAAATTGTAAGGAAAATGCTGCCAAGACTCTCCAGCTAGTTCATTATCTTCTATTATTTAAAAAAAAAGTTAATGAAAACCTTGTCAGATATGGAATATAAAACATGTGTTGATTGAATGTGTTAGCCCACTACACGTAAGGCTACCCACATAAGATGTCAGATAACAACAAATACATGTAARGTGTTCGATGAGCTTTGCAAAAAGTTATGAATAGGGGAATAAATTGGGGGAAGGGGTAAAAGAGTCATTTTATTGGAAATAAATAAATTTGTGTTGGTCAGCAAACCCTATTTTGATATTCTGATGTTATTTTTGTTTTGCTAGATCTTTGAAAAGAAACCTCTTCAAATTAAAAATTTTGGTGTGTGGCTGAGGTATGACTCCAGAAGTGGCACCCACAACATGTACAGAGAGTACAGAGACTTGACTGTTGCTGATGCTGTTACTGCTTGCTGTGAGTACTAAGCCTAATATTATTATTATTATAAGCTTGAGTAGATAGTTGAGTTGTACCAAGAGTTGATGCGATATTTATACATTAAAACATTAAAACAGAAAAAATTGAAATTGGTTCAGGGTTGAAATAATTCCTGCTCAATGGCCTGACATTATGACCTGGCACATCAGACGGAATAGTGGTAATCAACATGCAACCAGACAATATGACTGGCCAAGAGAACCAGCCTAAGAGTAATCTATCAGATGAGTGCCAATTTTGAACTAACATTTTTAATTGACTGGAAGTTATTTAGAGCCCTGGTACTTGCTCTTGGCAAGGATTTTTTCCTCTCTCCTGGAAATGGTCATTTTTATTACACATTTAAGTTGGACATTAGTGTGATAAAGCCATGAATAAAAACCATATCAGTGAAGTTATACGATATCACTTCACGGTAAACTGGAAACTGTAAATTTTGTATTTTTATTAACCCTAAATGTGTAAAAATAAGCATGTCAAAAGCGTGATATTTTTATTCACTCGTCTCCCATTTAATATCACTCCCTCATTTGTGATATGATATGGAAAGTTGTGAATAAAAACGAAATCCAAATTTTAAATATGTGATGTTTTTTCCCAGACCGTGATATGGCAGCAAGACATCGTGCTAGGGGTTCTTCTATTCAGATTATGAAAGTAGAGACTGTACCATCAAGCAAGTGCCGTCGACCTCATGTCAAGCAAATGCATGTAAGATATGATGATGAGAATATGTGGACCGCGTAGCACTTATGAAATACATGAAGATATAGAAATATAAATAATTTATAGTGCTTGGGAACGAGGTTATTCCGGGCAAAAGACCCTTGGAATTAAATTCGGAAAAATTAATTTCCGACCTCGCTGGGAGGTGGGAAATTAATTTTTCCGAATTTAATTCCAAGGGTCTTTTGCCCGGAATAACCTCGTTCCCAAGCACTATAAATTATCTATATTTCTATATCTTCATGTAAGATATGATTTTTTTTTATTTGCCACAATGAGGAAACCATGTGTCTTGCAAATAATTATCTTCAAATATTTACCAGAGTAGTGCTATACTTTACATGTAGTTATTTGAGCAGCTAGAGTGGGACTACTACAAAATAAAGGGAAGATCCTTGTCTCCTTAACCAAGGTTCAACTTGTTAGTTGAGAGTTGTATGCATAGAGCAGTTTTTGTATGACTGTAAAAAGCCCAGTGCCATGATGCTTTCTAGAATTTTAATTGGCTGATTTTTTCATGCGTAATGTGATTGGTCTGGCATTGGCGTGACCATGTCCAGGTATTTGATTGGATGGAGAGTAAATTCCCGTGCAATGTGATTGGTCTGGCGTATCCCTTGCAGTGTCATGGCTGTGTTCGTGCCGTGAATTTTTCACAGTCATACGAAAACTGCACTAAAACATTGTATCACTGGCAGTGTGTGGGAATATAATATCTCAAACTGTGAATCAGTACTTATACTGTAGTTGTTCACTGTAAGAAATGATTATTTTTATTGGTTATAAAATCATAATGAAAAAGGAAGAAAGGGAAATGGAAGGGAGGCACATGGGACTAATTATGGCTGAAACATAAGCTTAACATAAAAATGAGAGACATGTAGAGTACAAACACTAAAAGTGTGCAACACTTTGCACTATTTAGTAGTAAATAGTGCTAATTAAACAATAGAAAACAATAGGATTAGCATAATTTAGCAGTATTTAGTGGTAGAGTGCATGCACTAAATCTGTGAACAATATTTAGTACTAATTAGTACTATTTCATACAGAATCCTTTGTTTTCTATTGTTTAATTATCACTATTTAGTGCTAAAAATTAGTATTTGTTTCACGGATTTAGTGTGAGCACTCTATTTATGTTACACACTTATAGTGTTTGTACACTACTTTATGATGGTTCAATGTAATATTAGCTTTAGCTAAATTGGTTTCTTTTTCATCGATATATTAAATTTTATTATTATTGTTGTTGTTATTAATATTAATATTATTATATAAATTGTTATTAATCATTATTGTTACATATACTTTGTTTTCTCTCAGGATAACAAGATGAAGTTCCCTCTACCTCATCGTGTGATCAAGTCACAGTTTAAGTCTAAATTTGTGGCCAAGAGACCAAATACCTTCTACTAGGCCATTGTAAAACACCTTATGGCAAAGCAGAATAAAACAAATTAGAACTCAATTGTTATTTTATCTTTTTATATAAGTTGAACTATAAACACCCCAATAGACTTCAATAACTCAATTTGAAGGACCTAACAATAGGTTTCCAATTCTCAGAAGATTGAAATCCTTTTGTTTTATCCTGCAAATTGAGCTGCTTTGACGTCACAGTCATGTAAGGGGTCATTTACATTTACCAAATTACAAGCACGCCCTCTCTTCGAGGCTTAAGTGCTTGGGTAGGTCAGGATCAAAGTTAGTGTTCTAATTTACAGACCCCACTTTTAAATGCATTAACATTTGGGACTGTGACTAATTCAGCGGGTAGATTGTTCCATTGTTTTATTGTCTATTGGTGATTTAGCTGAAAAAGTACATGCCTCTGCCCCCCATAAATCAAGCAGTGTCACAATGAACCCAAAGTAATCAAAKGAATCATCAATATTAGGAGTGACAAATATAAAATTGAATATTTTATAAAGGATTTGTAAAGAAAAAACAGCTTTGTCATCCAGTGCATTTTTTCATGCAAACTCTGATAAAATATTCAATGGTGTTGGAATTTCTCTTCTATCCTGCATTGTGGATTAAAGCTTTGCCTTAGCTTCTTACAAATATTTAGGTGGTGTTACTGTTTTCATTGCTCATTTTGGCACAGCTATTTAGTTTTGGGGTTAGGGGCTTGTGACGTGGTCCATAACAGGGTTTTGCAGTATCATGAAGGCCAGAACAATACAAACATTTTACATTAGAAAGAATTTAATTCCCGAGAGTCAATTTTGTTGTGCTACCTTACTAGTCGTCTGTATGCAATACCTCCACTATTTTTAAAATGTTTTTAAAACCCACGAAATAGATATTAGTCTCTCAGATGTTAGACACTAATTCTATTTTCTTTTCTTATAATTATTGCACATTGAATATCAGATCTTGTTTCAATGTGGTTTAAATGCAGCCACTCTTGGCTGCTTCAGCTGGTTTCCCTTCTCCCTGCTTTACCACATCCCTTGTTGAGTAAATACTGGTTTATGGTGTTAGATTCAAGTAGTGTGATAGGCCTTTTGCAACAACAGGACCCTACCCCACTTAAATAAAGAAGTTGTGTGAAAATGAAGATCAGAAATGAAAAGAGCCCCTCTATATTAGTAAGAGGTTTTAGAATTTATATGGGAAAGTGTGCTGGATGGTAAGCTACAATCCTGGACAAAAGTATTGGGACAGCAACATAAAATTACATAATATTTTTTTTCCCCCCCCCCCCCCCCCCCCCCAATTCAATGTTGTGGCAAACGGGTTTGCGATGATGTGTGCTTTGACCAACATTGAATTGGGGGAGGGGGTAGGGGGGACGAACTTCATAGATGAAATTGCGTATAAACATTGAGAAATTATGGAAATTAAGACAATATTTTAAAAATTTGCGCTGAGTTTTCAAGTGTCCCAATGACTTTTGTCCATGATTATAGCACATTTTCCCATACAAATCCTTATGAAATATTCGAGTCCGTATTTAATGCCATTTCCCCCTTGTGAAATGTTATGAGCTGTAACTTTGCCTTCTTGCTAATATCAAGGTGCTCTTTTCATTTCGGATGTTCATTTTAACTTTAGTAGAGTCTTGCATTCCTGTTCCAAATAGTCGGGTTCAGAAACATAGAACATAAAAGCTGAGACCGAAATGGCATAATTATATTATAATTTATTCATTTGCGCCATCCATGCAGTCGGTTTAGAATGCCAAACGCGTATTAAAAACAGTGGATGATGCCACGGGTCGCCGTTCACAGCATGCATCTAATTAACGTACTTCCCATGTGCCACTTCGGTCTCAGCTTCTATGTTCTATGTTTCTGAACCCGACAACAATTCTTCAATTGAGTGTATCGTATTGAAATCTAAACAGTATACATTGTCTTTGCATGTTTGATTGAATTGTCGCTTTTTTAATGGTGAAAAAAGTTTTCATCCGATCTTCGGGAACGCAGGAGTCTGTCGCTCGGTGACGTTTCAGCAAACTATTGCACCACTCTCGATTGGTGACGTTGTAGGAAACTATTGAAATAACGTTCGTAAAGGTGGCCAGAAACTGAAATACCAAAAGAGTTTCTGCTAATAAACATAGTTTACCCCTTGCTTGCACTGAATTAATAGATAATTACTGAGGCACGCAGCATTCGTAGGTATAATGCAGGCAGCTGAGGGCGTAGCATAATCCAATTGTTTTCTTTCTAGCTTGTTTATCATAGAAACAAAGCCAATAATGAATGAACTCAATATGTCTGATTTTCCTCTATGCATTCGTTGGGATAATGCAGACTGAAAACAATGGATTTTGATAAGATCAGTAATTATCATGTAAAGAAAGACTGGTCTTTGAGGATTTTTAAAGGTTTGTAACTAGGACCATACTTCCAGACATCGAATGCTGAACCGTCGTATGGCAGCGCGAGGCATTTACGGCTACGCCGGAGATTTCGACCCCGACACCGCTATCCCTGGATTTACAGACTGATCAGGAATCTCGGCCGAAGCCTAAGGGAGAGGTTAGTCGGCCCCTAGACCATAGATGATTAACCCCTTGCTATGACCAGCAGACCCAAAGTATCGATTCTGTCACTGATGGCTAAATACTTATTGTCATTCCTTTCCATGTGGGACGCGTTTTGAAAGGCTCCCAAAATTCAGTAAGTAGGGGTGAAATTTGCTTTTCAAAATTTAGCATTTTCTCATCAAAATAGTTTAGGAAATGGAAAAGATAAAAATGGAAGAAATTATAGTGAGATATGAACGAGTCAAGCTGTTCACGCAAGTGCGCAGTTTGTTAAAAGTACTTCAAAGTGAGGTGGGATGAAAACTGCTTCCCTTGCGGGCCTGGTCGTGATGGCTCGGCAATTCAGTCCCAGTTCCCCTAGACTGAACAACATTCTTCAAAGCGAGGCAACATATAGCAGTCTAGTGGTCCCACAATACAATTCGATCCGACGTTACCCGCAATGCATCACTACCAGTTGGTACATTTCCGCGCGGGTCTTGGGTCATGTATAAAATCGTGTCAGTGACTTAAAAAAAAAAACACCCATCAATAGTCGGTGAGGCAGGTTTGCTCCGAAAATCCACATACATTTTCTTTTAGTTTGCACTGGTCCAATCACGTTAGATTCGTTAGATCCAGCAACAGTATTCTTAATGACCTTCCTAGCCATGCGAAGAAATTGATAAAATCCAACGAGTTCAGAACGCTGCTGCAAGACTTGTCACCGGCACCAGGAATATATGTATCCATCACTCCTGTCTTAATTGATCTTCACTGGCTCCCGGTCAAAGCTCGCATCGATTACAAGATACTTCTAACTGTTTTCAAAGCACTTAACAATCTGGCTCCGGAATATATATCTGAACTACTTAAACGCTACAATCTTCCACGCTCATTACGCTCTGCCAATCAAAATCTATTAATTGCTCCTAAAACAGTCAGTAAGACATACG